GGTAAAATAATCAGCATGCATTATGGGAGGTGTAGTTTCTGATAAATGTTGGCTTTAAAGCAGAATACACTTGTTTTAAGACATTAATACATCTTTGAAGCTACTGCCGACCACATAAAATGTCATGGCTGGACACATTTGGCCCAGGAGCCTTGAGTTTGACACATGCCAGGCTAAACCGAAGATAAAGGGGAAATGTGTTACTGAAAAGAGGGGAGGAGATTTTAAAAAAGGAGATGCTGCTACATTCAAATGAGTCAAAAATGTCAATGGTGGCTACAGGGAGGGCAAGATGGTTGGCAAATTTAAAAGAGATACCATCTGTTTTTAAAAGCTTATTTATTAGGGATGTGACATGGGAATAACAGCTCACTTGTTGGGAACAAAAAAATTATCACAAAGGTCTTTATCAATCTAATGAATCTTATTAAACATTGTTTGAGAAATAAGGAAGTGAGGGAAGGAAACAACAGGTCTAAAAAGTCCAAAGATGTGTAACGCAGCTCTTTTAAAGAGAACATCTTTATTTACCCATGTCATGATATTGATTTTTTCCCTCTTTTTTCCCACAAAAGCAGGAAAATCAAAGGCATTGTACAGCCAGTCTTTCACTTCTTGAAGCACCTTTGGATTCTAGTTTTTCATCTCCTTTAGGTTTGGATGGAGCCTGCACTGATTGAACACAGGCAGGATGGAGAAGATGTAAAGGTCTGGATGGGATCATGTTGGTGGTTGTGATGATGATGATGACGATGGTGGTGGGATTCTATCTGGATGACCTCATCCAGTTACCCACCCCCTGGGAGAAAGTGAGCTCACAAGAGTCATAAAAAAGGCATTTACAGTCTTTCGGCAGACTTATGGGCCTTACTCAGTGTAGCGTACGATCCAATTTAGCAGGCTGGACAAAGGATAATGTGACATCTGTCAGACGCAGAGGGATCAAACTCAGATCTTTAAAAAAAATAAATCAGACTGGACAAGTCTGTGTGTGTGTCTTGTTGAGTTCTTGGATGTCTTTTAGAGATGCCCTAAGATGATTCAAAATGACGAGCTAAAACAAGAAACTCTCCTGTGATGTCATGCAAATAAATAATGTGCATCTCTGAAGCMTGTTCCTGCGAGCAGACTCTTCCAGTTGCACTTTCTGTGTGTGGAAGAGTTTTTTCTTTCCTTGTTGCATCCTGTTTGATGTGCAGACATCTGAATGGATGAACGCTCGGCTGGTCGCCAATGGGAACAGGAGGATATTCCTCTGAGGGGGGTGGGGGGGAGAGATGAAGCCCCGCCCCTTTAATCGCTCGGCTGGAGTTGGGTTTTCTTCCGTCGCGCGCTCTCTTCTCACGCGCACATTTTCACTCACTCTCCGCAGGAGGAGGAGGAACTTAGTGCGCTCGTGCTCCTGCCGAAAAAGAAATAAAGCTTTTTTTCACATGTTTTTAAATTATTATTATGTCTGAGGATTAAAGAGCTTCACAGCGACATTTACCCGCTTCTCTGTTTCCTTTCATCGGCAGCAACATGAAGAAACGCGGAATTCTGCGTTTAAAGTGAGGAATCGCTTTGGTGAGTGATCGTGTTCTGCTTAAATCCCTTTCCCCCCGTGATTTTATCGTTTAAGTTTAAGCAACATTATTTTTCCGACTTATTTAAACAGCTCCTTTAAGTATATTTAGGATAAAAATAGTTTTCCTTTTTGTAAAATGAAATAAAGTTGCGCAGATTCCACATCACTGTTGTGTAGCAGTTGTATATTAACTTGGACATCACCAACATTGGACTTTTATTGCAGGGGTGTGAATAGTAATGGAAGCCTTTGGGCMAAGTCCAGTTGCCAGACTTTATTGCAGTGTGACTGAAACAAAAGCAGCGAGGAAAACCCAGCTGTCTCTCTTGGTTAATGTTACATGGAGGCATTKAGGCTCAATAATTAGAAAAGCAACATAGTCCGGTCCAGATGTGATGGTTAAAATATGACCTGTGGATTATCTTTGTTGTTTTAAATTTTTTTTAAAGTCCAAATCTCTTGCATCTTCATTAGACATAATGTCGAGCAATAATCAYGTATCCCTGTTTGACCCTCCTGTAGACGTCTCTCTCTCTCTCTTCACCACTTCATCACGTTTGGAAGCTAAACAGCGATGGCCAAGTGGCTCAAGGACTACCTGAGCTTTGGCAGGAAGGTTCCCCCGCAGCCCCCCACGCCAGACTACACAGAGAGCGAGATCCTCAAAGCGTACCGGCTCCAGAGGGACCTCGATTTCGAGGACCCCTACGAGGATGTGGAAACTAGACCCAGAGGGGAGTCGGGGACCTTCGACCCCGCCACGCCGCTTTACGGCTCTCCCRTGAAGTCGACCAACGTGGACGCGAAGTCCCCTAAACACAGGCTGATCAAAGTGGACTCCCAGGAGCTGGGACGCACAAAGATCCTCCTCAGTGCCATCTCGTTGGACGATCAGAAAGAGCCCGTAAGAACTGATTCTTTATAAGTGTGGAGAACAAAGGGACATGATGTCAAATAAGATGTTTCTCCTGTTAAGTGCAGTGGGTTGGAGTGATAAAGAGAAGCCTGCGTCTCTAATCTAATTTTCACCCCTGTGACAGTTTTATTGATGAAACTCTCTTAGCAGCTGAGCGGTAATGTGTGTCCAAAAAAAAGTGTATATAATTTACATAAATCACATAACATTTTACACACAACATAAATTTAGAGGTGGGGGCGGGAAGAAAATAGATGGCTTGAGCAGAMTGTTGAGTTGGACACAGTCCCTTGGGTTTATGTCCGTCTATAAATAATAAATGGGGTTTGGTTTTGCACGCTGAGAGAGGGACCCTCGCATGGGCACATGTTGGAGGGCCCCATTTATTTCCCCCCYGTGCTGGTATGTCACAGGGAGGTGTAATTTATACTGCTGGTGCTGTTTGTAACATCCCAACTCTTCTACGTTGTGCATTCAAAAGCGAGATGAAGCAGATGAGGCAAAGACGTTACAAGGACATCATCTAAATATTAGCTCAGCTCAGACTTGCTGATTAAGTTGGGTGGTGGTGGTGGTGGTGGGGGGGGGTGTCAGGATTTTTTGCCAGAGCAGCCAAATCCATAAACCCACTCATGGAAAAGTGTGAACGTCTCATCTTAACTCAAGTCAATAACAGCCCTCTCTGCCCTTCTTCCCTTTTGCACTCATTAATTTCCCATGGTCTGTGGGAACTTTCTAATGAACATAAGATTCTCATGCATCAATAGAGAACCTGTTAGAGAAACAACCAGAGATTTAGGATGTCATTTTTTAGAAGGCGTGGACGGGCGTTTTAGGAAGTGGGCCTTTCTTCCGTCACTGTCTTTGTGAGGGAAGAGCAGAGACAGAAGGATAAAACACGTTTGTAGATCTGCCCGCATGTGTTTGTATATGCGTGTGTTTGTATATGCGTGTGTTTGTGGGACCATATGGTTGCCTCTGTGACTGTCACTGTGCCAAATGACCACTGTTTTCCTCCTGCGCTCACACAGAGAAACAAATGCTACTCACTCGATATCTCCCTCTTTTTTTTATCTGCGTCCACACCTCCTGCTGTCAAAAAAACAGGTCATCATCAGTCTTCTTCACCGCAGATTGCTTTGACAAAAAAAAAAAATCCATCAAAGGTTTTCAATACTGCATACACATTAGTAGTGTTGTAATGTAAAATACAGAGGTGTTAAATGGTTCATTATTCTCCCTTTTTACTCAGCCAACAAATATTTATTTGTGCAGTGGAAATCTTAATATTCTGTTCTGGGCACATATTTCAATCCATTCAATTTTCTCTTGTTTTCTATTTTATTTTCTGAACTTTTACGTCAGTAAGTATGTGCAACTGAACAGACATGAGGTCTTACCAGCTACAGTTGGTGGTCTTCATTCTCTGGCTCTGGGTCAGWCTCTGGCTCCAACATGGAAGGCTGGATGGACGARTCTTCTGTTGTTCACATCTTTTTAACTAATTTGTAAATAAAATTTTTCTGCATTGCTAGATAGCCCCCCTCCATCAAGCTAGAATGAACCGCTCTGGAAGCTGGAGGGGGGCGGGGTGTGAAGCGTCTTGTCTGGATTTAAAGAGACAGCCTCAAAATGAGTTGATCTGACACACACCTCTGAAAAGGGTCTTGTGGAGTTACAGGAAGGAGGAATTCAGACCAAAGCAATGCTGTTTCAGTTTATATAGACCCCAACTGAATGATTTAAATCTGAATAAGAACAATTTCAAAGCATGATATGTCTCCTTTAAAGGGTCAATATTATGTGTTTCTCAGGCATATATTTAAATACTATACATTAATAAAGTATCTATGTCACCTTTAGTTGTTATTAAAATGCTGTTTTTATGTTTAAATAGAAAATAAACTTATCTTCTCATCACTTCCTCTTCTAAACGCCTTGAAATTGGCCTCTGTCTCTTTAAGAACCACCTCTTGCTTCTGTCCCGTCATCGTCACCCGTTGGTCGGAGGGTCGCGCGCGGGGGTGGGTTTCATGTGTGCGCTATGATGCAGTTTACTTGCCATCTGAAAATACATTTCCTTAAAGGTATTTTGAATCTGAAAAGAGCTTCACTTAGTGAGAAGTAGTGGATCTCAGCAGACAGTTTAAGTTTCACTTTCAGTTTTGTTCTGTTGCTGCCGAGAGCCTGCAGGAGTCATGGGCGGGGGGTGGGGGTGTTCCGTGATGAGGAAGTTCGGCTTAAAGACACGTCCCAGGGGTGTTCCTGGTACCAAAAGGTGTTTCTGGTCTCCACCTGTCGTTTTGCTCCTCAGCATGGCTTCCTAAAAACGCTGCAGGATTTCTCAAACATGCATGAATGAGTCAAAGCAAGGCTTTGGGCATGTTTTTAATGAGAGTGTAACATTACAACATGATAAGTTGATTTTACATGATATTGCCCCTTTAACTAGCAGACAAGCTGGGTGAGTTTTAAAGTAATTATAATCCCATTGAAATTCTAGAAATTCTGTTACACGTGTTTGCAACCACAGTGTAAATTTTAGAACATTTTGTATACCAGTAAATTAAACTGAGTCAGCTTTTTCTACCATGGCTTGAGTCGGCTTTCCAGTTTAGAATGTGCTCACCTCACGTGTGGGTTTGTGCTTCTGTCCTTCAGGTGGTGCCGTCAGCTCCGCTGGCAGGCGACACGGATTACTCGGACCCATTTGACGCTCGACTAGAACACCGAGCAGATCCAGACCTTGGGCCTGTTCCCTGTGAGAATAACGGCTACATGGAGCCATACGAAGCCCAAAGGGTCATAACAGGTCAGTGGACTCATAAAGGCGGAGCAGCTTATTGTTGGACGGATTGTTAGAAAACTAAACATAAGAGCTGGTTAAGGCCTGGTTCACACAGCAAGGAAATTCTGCAGATTTTCTGGCCCAATTTTGGCCTTCCAAAAACCTTACAGACACTGATTATGATGATGGCTCCAAAGATAATCTGATGAAATATTCCTGCCATGTGTGGTGTGTTAAGAACGATCTAGTCGGCTCAGAAGGACGTCAGAACCGCTCCGGTCTCAATTTGGGGATATTCAATATGATAACCCAGTGTGTGCGGTGTTCTCTGAGAACAAACAAACTCGCAGCCTGTTGAATGTGACGTGTAGCCAATCAGAAAGCGAGGTGATGGAAACATGGAGGGGAATCCAAAATACAGAAGACAAAACAACTGCCACGGCGCRCCTGAAAGCCCGGTGGACGTCAGCGTAATTATTTTTCTCTTAGTTCACAAATTATCGTTATTGCTCCTTCCTGGTCAGCCATGTTTTAATTACTCTGAACTCACGTTTGATCTCGAGAGGTTTCCCGTCTGAAATCTGAACATTCATGAGTGTGATTTTTTTTTATCATCACGTGTGGGGTCTCAGGTTTTGACAATCAACCAGTAACTTTACAGTCCTGCCGTGTGAACCAGACATAAGGCACGGAAATTCTGCATGATTTATTTATTTATTTATTATGTTTCTTTCTGTGTTTTTGCGCCACTTTTCTTTGTCTGGATTTGTGACGTTGCTTTGGTTTAAATATCATGGCCATGATTAGATTAACCGACGCAACAAAAAACATTTTTGTGAGAACGGTAGAGTTCCTTACCCTGAATGGCAGAACCAGAACCAAACTATCCATTGAAAATAATACTGAAGGAAATGTTTTGAAGTGGTTTTCAGGACATGACATATCTGTGCACGAGCACTGATGATTGTCTAGAACAGTAGTGTCAATCATTTTCACATCTTTGTGGACCAAACACTCGAATATTCTTTACAGCCACCAAAACAAATAGAGGATTAATGAAGTATTGGTAGAATCTGACAGCATGTTTTTTGAATTAAAACTGCTCACTAAATTTTTAATGCCATAATCTCATCACATTCCGTACAACCTTTTTTAAAGTTATCTGAAAACATCTCGGTAACATGAGGATTAAGTGGTTTGAAAAGGTGAGATTAAGTGGATCACTTTGAGTTCAGACCTCCGACTTGAAAGTCAGGAATTATATWGGACTTCAGGTATATTGAATCATGAATAAAATATAGATCTGTAATATGAAGTAATGTAACCGGTCTCTGCCGTGTCAGCAGTTCTTTTGATGAGCAACACGATTTAATTTGATCTCTCTTTAACTTGCTCTTTTTCTTTTTACAGTGACGTTTTTGCTGTCTTCAGAGAATATTGACCCAAATGTGCTTTAATTTTAGGTTATTGAAGTTTATTTTTTTTTAGTAAACAGATTACTTGGAAATGCTGTGACTGTTATCTCCTTGGAGTTTTTGTTCACCCCAGCTGAGCTATCAGCGGCGTGATGTGTTCGTTTATTGTCCGGTGTGGCCCCTCCCCACCCTTACAAACTGCACACAACCAACACTTTCCATTGCTCTCTGTCCTCCTATAACATTTTTGTCTGACACCCCCCCCCCCAACACACACACACACACACAACACGCACTCCCTCTCTTCCTGGTCTGTCTCAGCCATTTAGTGTAAAAGCTTGCCCTCTCCTCTTCCTCCCTGCCCACTTCATTCCTCATCTCGAGGGCTCTCCCCTGCCCCAAGCGAAGTGACTGTCTTTTTAATCTGTGCTTTAGTAAAGTCTATATTCTGTCYTTTCATTATCGTCGTTCATGCTGCCCTTTCAGTAGTGGGGAGAAAAAGAAAAAGAAAAAGTTCATGATATTAGGAATAAGTGAATGGAGCATCTCTTTCACTTCGCCCAACTGTGGAACCTCATTGAAATCTTTTGTTGCCACTGCAGTGGGATGGAGCCATTTAAGAGATTCACATTGGTGATGGCGTCACTTTAGACAAAGCATTGTCAGAGTTTTTTTTTTATTTTTATATATATTGACTTTGAATCGAGCCTGTCTGGAGCTGTCTTTTGTCTGTTTTTGTTCATAAAATTGAAGCAACAGCCAAAAATCTGAGACTGGAATAATTACGACTCACAAAGACGCGCTTTTTTTTAAGAGTCGCAGAACGTTTTTAAAGCAGTTGTTTGACTTTATTGTCGTGATTCTCGAGTTAAGCTCTAGAGGATAAAAAGGCTGGTCCCCCTGCTGACTCACATCAGCATTTGTTAAACCCTCCCCAGCCTTCACTGTCACTCAGTCAGTCTTCAGTCTCTGTCATATACCACGTTTTACATACAACCCCTGTCTACCCACCGCCTACGCTTTCCTCCATAATGTTTCCTTTGAATCTGTCATTTCATTCCCTCAAATCTCGTTTTCATCTCTCGACCTTCATCTTCCCTGTCTCAGGGCTGCCGTGACACCACAAGCTCCCAGTGCAGGTAGAGCAGCCTTCAGCCCCRCTGCGCTTCTGTCTCTATGACTTAACATCAAATGCTGACAGACCACAATTCCCTCCCTGCCTGTTCGAATCTCTCTGTCTTTCATTGCTTTTCTCCTCCCCTCATTTACTCCATACTTGCCTCTTCGTTCCATTTTTTGTTTCTCCTGATCCCACTCTTTGCCTCCTTTTCTTGACCTTGCTCTCCACTTGGTTAAACTTGTAATKAAGTGGTGTTCCCAGTCTAACGTGAATCAACTCCTTTTTAGGATGTGATCCATAAAASATGAATAATCCGTCACTTCTGAGCTTTTTTTTTTTTTTACAAAAAAGGTAAGTTTTTGAGGTCAACATATCAAACACCACAGTTGATAGGTGTTGCTGCAGCTCAAAGACCCCTACTGAAGCGTTTTATGGAATCTAATTTCGCCCCGTTTGCACCAAGAATCTTCTCTTTCATGACTATATTTGACTCMGCTGAGCAGATGCAAGTGCTGAGAACCATTTGTTGGTTTGAACCCACTGAGAAACTGAYGAAAATGTTAACAAGGAATCACAAATGCTGCTGTGAGTCTTGCTGGATTGCTGCTGGTGTGCATGTTGTGGAGGGGGGGTTGTGGCATGTCTACTGTTKTGTCTGTTAGCATTCAAGGCCTTTTAAAAGCTCCATTTTCATGAGTTTTCGAGCCTACTTCAAGCTGTGCAAACATAATTTGTTTCATTCTTATTATTCTAGACTTGTCAGGCCAACAAGCTTTTGTTGGCTTCATGTTTCAGATGGAGARCAGCATCTTCAGTGTCTTCTTTGTGTTTCGGGGACCATGGTGGCTCATCTTGTATTTATCAAGCTCTGGTCACAAAGARATACATGCATATGAATATTTGCTTTGCACATGTTGGTTTCTTTATATGATTTTCTTTATTATGCATATGCTACCACAGAGCTGCAGCGTGCTCCAGGAGGAGGTCGGTTGCGCGGAGGGGTGCAGCTCTACGACACTCCTTACGAGGACGAGCGAGGACAGCGCCTGGGCCTGGGCTACGGGTATGGAGAACTCCACGAGGAAGGCAAGGAGAGCAGCAGGTTGCCACAAGATGATGAGAGACCAGCCGACGAGTACGACCAACCCTGGGAATGGAAGAAGGACCACATCTCCAAGGCATTTGCAGGTAGACTAATAAAGTTCTTGAAGTATTCTGACACTTGATGAAACAAGATGATGAAAGAGTTTGAACGAGGAATTCATAATCTGAACTGTTATTTTCCCTGTTAATCCAACGGGTGACCAAGGTGTTTTTTAGTGGGGGGGCTCAGACAAGTAAAGAAAAGCACTCTGGAATTGAAAATTCAAGATGGCCACCGCAGCTAATTCCAAATGGCTTTAAGAAAAAAAATGAGCTGAAATTTTGTGTGACCATAGTTAAGAATGTTAAAAAAACATGCTGAATGCTAGTTATTACTTATTATTTAGTCAGTTTTAGACATACAAAGCTGAAGATTAGTGTAGAAAAAGCCCAAAACAAGCTTTACCAAATTCTAAATGCTAATCCAAAATTCAGGCTGGCCACCAAAGCTAACCTTAAAAGGCTATAAGTCAGCTATCTTAAGACTTATTAAGATTAAAATTGTTGTGGAGAAGCAAAGAGTGATCACATGCTGATAGTCGATACTCACCCCAAATTAAGATAACCGCTATAACCGCTATAACTCACCCATTTTTAAACATACACATTTACACAAAATGTATTCAGTACATTAGTGTCAGAGAACAATCTTTAACAAAAACTAAATTCAAATCCACAATCCAAGATCCCCACCTACTTGTCAATTATTTGGGGATGGCACCTGGGGTGGCCAATCAGGTGGCATGGATGGCACTTGCCACCCCAGCCACCCCTCTGGCTCTGCCCCTGTGCCCCCTTCAAATTTCTTGTTAAATTTTGAGCAGTTAATTTAAAAAAGGTGGTCAATGACAGCCTTATCTAAACCATTCTTCACACATGGTATCACCAKTTTGTCTTGCTCTTGATTTATCTAGTTTCATGCTGCTAAGCTTGATCAATATGTGAAGCTTTTGCTCACGAAAGCTCCACTTATTATTGGCAATCCTCCATTGTATTAAAGCATCTTTGAGCAAAATGGTAAATCCCTGCCAACTACAGACAAAAGCACTKTAAAGCCTTTAGGTGTTGAGCCTAAACTGAACAGAATCGCAGACAATAAACCTATTTTAAATGGAATCACTCCATAGAATCACTGAGGGTTCAAACTGAGCTGTTTTAAAGGTTGGAGCCGTCCTACGAGCACATAGACAGCCTTGGTTTACTTACATGGAGAAAATAATAATCTAACTGTCCTGACCTTTAAAAAAAAGTATCTTCCACCMTCCCCCTTCATCATTACATCCCCGCAGCCTTTTTAACTGGAAATAGAGTGCTGTGACCTTCACATTCTGAGCTTAAATGGCACATATCTCTCTTTCTAGATTTGAACACCTTCTGGTGATTATTGATTTCCTGCTCTCAGGCATGTGACAGACAGCAGTCCTGGCAAGGTTTGAGATGATTATCAGAGCTGACAGAAAAAGATATTCTGCGACRGGGTAGTGGTAGCAGTTTCGAGTAATTGACATTGCGTATGATTAACTATATTATTTTCTTGCTGTTGCGCTGCTTATCTGAGCTCGTCACACTACGCTTCATGAATTGAGTATAATTAGAAGGAGAAAGGGAAGTGAAAATAAGAGATAGACACTGGGTTTAGTAAATCGTTTAGGAGGGGGATTGGTGTAAAAGCGCACCAGGCCAAGTTGACTTAACTGAGCCGCATCTTCATGTCACCAAGGTCAAGGTGATGGGATAATAAATCAAACTTGGCTCGTCCTCACCAACCCCTGATCCCATCTCCCCTCCTGTCAGTTAATTACAAGCCTACATGTGTGTGACTGATCTAGTGTTAATAGGAAAGTCGTGGTCGGTACACCGTTGTCTGATGAATACACTCACACACGCACAGAGATCCATTTTCATCGTATTCACGCTCAAATCCCCMTGACCAGAAGAGCGGCAACCGTAACCTATCGGAAAAAGCGAAGACAATTTCTAAAGAAGCTGGAGCTACAGCTGTTAATTTAAAACCTGATATCTTCTCTCACCTACTTTGCTGTCTCCTTACGCACACAGCCCTACAAGGGTACTACTTACAGCACCATTAGAGCATGAAATGTAGGGGAAAAAAATGCTTGTGCAGCCCAAGTTGCTGACCTTTTTTGTTGTTGCTTTGTTTTTCGTTTTTATTCGGAGTCAACACTACTGAGCTGGCTTGCTGTCTGCCTGAGCACACCGAGCCGCTGAAGTGTAAACACACAAGCAGTATTTCCCCTTCTCACATTTAAATCCGTATTCCCAGACCCCTCTCGGCGTTGCTAGGCACAGCCCACATGCGAGGGAGGGGAGGGATGGGAAGGACCGAGCAGAGGAACAGGTTGATGGAGGAGATTGAAATAAGGAACAAAGGGATGACGGAGAGAGGTTGCCTTGGAAAGTGAGCCGAAGGGAAATAAAAAGAAAAAAAAAAAAGAAAAAGAGGGATGTTGCCTAAGGTTTAGGTCTGTTTGGTGGCAGCTCATTGGATGTTTGTGGAGGTCCAGCACTTCGACGAAGAGTATTAATGGTCAGGGGGCTGTGGCGAGGTAAGGCAGGCGGTGAACCAGGGGGTGATTCAGGGCCGTGGTAGCACGGTGCAATCAGTCATCTACTACGAACACACTAACACTACAGTGGTGACAGGGCTGCCCCTGACCTGCCACAGTGGGGTGGCAAACAGGGGTTGGTGGGTGCACATCACAACTCTACCAGCAGCACCTCATCAACACCTATACTGAGCCACGTGCACACATCTGCATTATGAACAGGCAACTAATTCAAGGGTGAAAACAAGGTGTGTGTGCATGTCGGTGCAAATGAAGGCATGCACGTGGGAGGGTTTGTGTGCTTTATTCAAGCTCTAACTTTTTCACAGACTTTCTCTGATTGCAATTTTCACAGCTTATAAACGCTTCAATGTGGGTGAAAATTGAATGCTGCGGGCAGTTTTCAAACAGTGTCAAAAATAAGCCTGTTCACTATCAGAGTCCGTTTTCAACAGTTCTGTAAGAATTATCCCACCTGTGCCTGAGTGGCATTCCTCAGCCCAGAATGGTTTTAATTACTAAGAAAATGTGACACTAGTCACACCTCAAATTACATCAGTCATTAATTTCTTACCATTTAATGCAGAGTCCAGCATTGAGAGATTGGCCCTGCAGCCGTTCTAGGTTATTAGTGAGCTAATGAGAGACACAGACTTATTAGAGCTCCGACAGCCACACTTAATGAACAGATAAGCGGGTGTTTCATGTTTTTAAGTTTTATAGTCCACACCAAAAGCTTTGCTTTTTTTTTTTTTGGTTTCTACGTTGGCTTTGTGAGGGTTGGTGGAGTGAAGTGCATAATAAGAGAGCTGCAAAGCAGCTGGAAATCTGGCTAGAAAAGGTGAATGAATAACATTTCCACCCTTAGCAATTACTGTTATGTTGCCGTTGAGCAAAGTACTTATCCTCCACTTGTTTCGGTGCAGCTGCTCATTAGGCACCAGCAAAAGGCTGGAGCTATTCTTAGAAGCTCTGCATTATGATGAACGTATGCCTCCCTAAAAGCAAGGCTGAGGCAACAAGACTTTAACAGGTTTAGACTCAGTTTAGTTGTATGAGAAATACAGTCGGATCAAATCAAAATCTTGATTTTGCCAGAAAATGTTGGCTTTTAGTGATTTATTTAAGTTGATATAAAATATTTGAAAGAAACTACAAGTTTTAATTTATTGTTGTCTTTTAACATAACCACCAACAATTCCAATTTTATTAATTTTATTGGTAAGAAGATGTACATACCACACACGCTTAATTATTTGAATTGCTGACCAATGGTTTTGGTCATCATCAAGTTTTTTGTTGTAATTTTTTAATTATTTTGACAAGGAGTTTATTATTAACCTTTCTCTGATWGGCTGCAAGCTTCAATGAGGTTTTAATGTTTTTGGAGTGGGAGGCTTCCTGGATTACATGTTTAAGTTAAAGTCTGAGCTGTGCCTCAGCTGGTTCTGGTTTTGTTTTAACCACCTAAACCAATAAARCCACATATTTTTCATATGTGTTTATCCATATCAGTGTTCATATGGAAACAAAGATTATAAACTTAGCGCAAAAAGTAACGATATTTGTGTTTGGTAGATTTTTTTGTGTGTGTTGTAACAATAAATCTTATTTATCTGATTGGCAGCACCTGGGGGTGCCAGAAGCTCAGAACAAGTGTCAATAGCAACAACAAAACAAGCAGTTTGGCAGAGAAAATCAGTCAATTTTTTTACTTGTGCAACCCACAAACTGAGCTCTACTGCTCATCCCACAAATGTATGTTCCTTACAAATGTGGCACCATTTAAAAGGGAAATTAACAGTGTAAGATTTATTGCCAAGAGGCACTGTTACAACAAAGAACTAATCTACCAAACACATATTTCTTTACTTTTTGTGTTAAGTGTATATTCTAAATATGTGGCAAATTTTCTATGTAAGGTTCACTTTTATAGAAAACAACACTAAGTTGTTATAATAAAATTTTATATTGGGCACACAAAACCTGCTGCACTTTAAAATAAGGGCTGTTTTATTTAAAAACACAGCAAAACATTGTTGCCAAAAATGGCATTTAGAAAAGCAAGAATGCTCCAAAATTTTGACACTTATTTAATCTGTTTGACAAAAAAGGAATCTCTTCACATTGTGTATAAGCAGCAAGTATTGCAAGCAAGTGCCTCGTACTGGTTTCTTGAAGGAGTACCTGTTGTTGGTCACCCTCCTGCATAGTCTTTAACATGGTGGCATAAACAAATAAAATAAACTGAGCACATAATGTTTGCACATTGGCTTACTATTAGAAGTCTTTGCTGGACAAGTTTCAATAACTGTTAATTATAAAAATGAGATGACAGACTTCTCAGACTGTAATCTCTTTATAGTGGTGCATATGAAAACCAAAGGAAAGTTGAGGAAAGCAATGGAAAAAAACTGGTTTGTTTAATGGTGGTCATCAATCAACCAGCAACCTACTGACACAGCAAAGACTCACTTT